GCTACTCACACTACGAGGGCCGAGGGACCGGCGCTGTGTAAAAATAAATATTCTTTAAAAAACTGACTGGGTACTTCAGGAAAGTTCAAAGCAAAGAAATTAAGGTAAATACCCAAAGGATTACAGGACTGTTGTCATGGCTTATTTAAGAATTTTCCATATATTATGGAATGAGAGATTTATTTTCTCTAGATTTCTGTCTATTTACCACTACTCTTATATATATATATATATATATATATATATATATATATATATATATATATATATATATATATATATATATATATATATACGTGTATATGTTATTGTGTATGTGTGTATTCGCATGTGTTTTTGAACATAAAAATATAGGTCCTTGCTAGATTAGATAATCGTTATATTTATTCTTTATATGTTTATATTTGATATGTAACCTGTAGTCGATATTAATTTTGTCAAATTTTATCAATTACCCAGCAGCCCTTCCAGTAAATGTCCTTCAATTTTAGTTTCCTCCGCCCCATCTCTCTCCCCCACCATTTCTTTCCTTTTCTCTCCCTCCCTCTTATTCTGATCTTTAACATTAGATCGTCTATGGTGTGTGTATGTCACCACGAAATGTACCTTTGATGTATTAGACATCCGACAACATTCATATTTCCCTCCCTCCACTCAACTCTAGTTAGCAAAAACCCTCTCTATTAAGTTTTAGTCCCCCACCTTCTCCGTCTGTTACCCCTCTCTTTAACACTAACATTCGTCCCACACTCTCATACTTACACTCTCTCTAAATTCTATTTTTATTTCCGGAGTTGTTTTTTCTGTTTTCTTTTTGAATTTGTAGGTCTGATGAATTGGATCGTATTTACGATTCCAATGGAATAAATTATGACCATGGAATATTAGTGTTTAAGCCTTTTTTTTATATATATATATATATATATATATATATATATATATATATATATATATATACAGAGTACGTCCAAAAAATGTGTACACACTTCAGGAAAGGAAAACTGGCCCCCGTAGATTTAGCAAGTTGCGATAACACTGTTTGCTGTAGTATTTTCTCGACAGATGGAATTACCCACATGGCTGTAGAATTTAAAGGAAGAAAACTGACTACAATGGTGGCACATTCTTTTTATTCACTCCAAGCAATGCTATTAGTACGCAGTAGATTACAGAGAGTGAAAATGAATGAAAACACTGAGTATAGAGAGGATTGTGGAAAGAACAACAGATGAACAGGATTCAAGAAGACAGAAGATGGCGATTGACGTTGCATTTAAATTTTTGAAGACTGTAGTTATCAAGGAAACAAGTAAACAGAAAGGAGTTCTACTCCAAAAGAAGCTTTTGGAGTAGAAGTGGCGGTTGCATTTAACTATTTGAACTGTAAACCGGTGGGACGTAGATGCCAATCTAGTAGCACGCTTAAATTAATAAAGTCGGGGCACCAGGGGGGGAAAAAGAAGCTCGTCAGATCTGTTGCCATGAAAAAATTTGTGGAAAAGATAACAAGAAGCCATACCACGTCGGTAATTGAAGTTGAGGTGTCAAGTCAGGATCGATTAAATTAAAGATCCTTCTTTGGACTTTGTCAAGAACCTCGATATGAAACGCAGAGTTATCAGACCAGTTATGGCAGCAGTATTCAGTTCACAGGTGAATAGTAGATTTGTAAATGTGCAAAATGAACTCTGACTAGAAATAAATTTCTGGCATGACACAGTGACACAACCTTCTTTGCATTAAATGCAGCAATTGATTCAATGTAGTTGCCCCCGCCTCAAAATTGAAAACGTGAAGTCAAGAAGGCGCAAAAATGCATGTGCAGCAATCACAATGGATAGTTTGGTTAACATCTTTTTTAACATCTTTTATGACTGTAGAGTCCAAAGATAACTTGTTTAATCTTCTGATGTCTGAATAAATTTAGTATTACAATGTCTATACAAGTTTTTTTTTCCTGAATGGTATATATATATATATATATATATATATATATATATATATATATATATATATATATATTGGCGGATTCTGGGTATATATACCTGGTGTAACAGCAAAATTATCCAAATCGTGTTACTGCATAATTGTCCATCACACAAAATGTTTAATATCTAAAAATGCTAAACTAATTGAGTTTCTTTTTTCCAGGTTTTCAGATAAGACTATGTTGACATCATTTTTCGTATGCAGTGCGCATCCACTATCGAGACTCGATGAGTTACTTAATTATGATTATTTCAAATCCACCTAATTATTTCTATCTGTATAGCCTTGCTTGAACCGGCTTCTAATGCTCTGGACTGAGCGGCTTGGGGATGGTAGTCGTAGCTGGTGGAGGTACGGTCCTATTTTCGTTGTCCTCTTATTACTGAGAGAAAAAACAAGAACAACATCTAT